AACTGATATTTGAAGATGATTCAATCTGTCCAAACATAAAATAGCAAAATGTAAGGTAAAATTTACTCCACTGATTGTAGGAACAGAAATCCTATAAGGCTGTAAAATACCTATAGTTCCAGCCAAAGTTTATATCAGAATAGATGTAAGACTAGAGCTTTGAATTTTGCGGATTTTTCATTATATTCTTTGGGGGGAAGGAGAGAAGAGATCTTTCTTATAAAATCTTCATCCCTTTGCAACGCCCTATATATCAAAATGTCAAGAAGAAACAGTTTCCACTCTGCCTGCAAAAGCTTTCCTGAGGGCAGAAAAATGGATTTAGTGTGAAAAAGTGGGATCTTCAGATTACAGAATTTGAAAGATGTACAATGTTTTAAGTTTTAATGGTGTTGCTTATTTGAGTCTGCTCCTACTACCTTGTCATAGTCAGGATTACAATAATCCACAATACAGCACAATGTGGAATATACATCAGTCATATCAAAGTCACTTGTTATTCAGTAACTCTTTGATCCGTTTAAGACAATTTAATTAAATCTGGTTCTAGAAAATTGCAGTGTTTTCATGTGAAAGACACATCTTAGATGGCCCCAGCTCCTTCAGGAGTAACTGCACTTGAAAATAAATCCTCAGATAACTCACACCCTGAAACAATCCAAGCCCTCAAGCCAGGACTTGCAGTGCAAGGGAGGAAAAAGGAATAAGAAAATGCCACATAAGCAGAAACTCCAGACCAAATTTCACTTTTTGTTATCTAGAGAGCCATTACAGTCCTAACTGCTGTTGACTCAGAAGATATGAGAGGTTTTCCTTGCAGGAAGACGAGGATACTGCTTCTTCAAAAACCACCATTCAAACAGCCACAAGGGCTCTAAAGTTGTTCACATGCCTCCCCCCTGAAATCATGTATAGTTGTAAGGATGCTGTTTACTCACAGTATGGAACTTTCCCTCCAACATTTACTCATCATCATGGCTAGGCTTCGCGAACGAAGATTTAGGAAGGGTAACATTTACTAGCAAATGGAATTATCACATCCCCTTACACTTTCTGTCACTAACAATAAGCATCAGAAAACTGGGTGTACTTCTGTGTACAACACACCTATACCAGTTGTGATTTTACCTTTCTCCACCTTGAACAAGTACACATGTGGATGCTATGTGGAAAGATGAAACACAGGACTCCTTGGATCACACCTTGCAAAGTGGGATTGCAAAATCCTGGGACAGCTGTGCTGAAGTATTTTTATAGGTGTTTCTGACACTGCTCTGTCACAGACATACCAGCAGGTGAAAGAGGGAGGAGGTGTTCCATTAAAGAACTTTGGCAAACAAAGGCCAAAGTGGAAAAGTGAAAGAAGAAGAAGATGTGAGAATTTTTTTTCCTGTCAAACCAGATGCTGCTTCTCCTACTTTCGCTCATGCTTGCCTACCATCTCTTTAGTGATCAGTCCTGGCCATCAGCAAGTCCTCATATAGGCTGCTGTGCACTATTGGCATTTGCTGGGATAGATTCAGGGCATACCAACAGCTGGCAGCTCCACAGCCTCTGTTGCATGCTGTGAGTCCATCACTGGACCAAATGTAGCAGAGGGCTCTGGAAGCTACGGATTAGGGTATCCTGCTCTTTACACTGTTATTTAACGTCTGTCCAACGGCTTCAGTCCTCATGGACCAGGTACTCAGTGGTCCATACACTGCTCAAAGCAGTGGCATATGTCAGCTGAATGAGGAACAAAATTGGTCTCATCTGGTGGCAACCTCTTACACGTAAACCAAGGCTGAGAGCAAGCTTCCTGAAGGCTCCTTTCACTGATGCTGGCTGCAAAGGAGGGCAGGGAAAAGACTCCTGCATGTCCCAATTAATTGATTATGTGTTTAACAAAATGTACTCTACCAGATCTTCATGGACATCTGGTGACAAATGCCAGAGTGCAACAGTAAATCTTATAATACAATAAAGAACAATCCAGAAAGCTGTCTGTATTATTTGGGAGAGAAACTCAGATCTGATAAGTGGATTAAAATTAGTTTAATGATTCTCTGTTTAGCCTTTAAATCTACTCATAACATGACACTATGTTTCCAATTAGAGAATAAAAATGTCAATTTAACATCTATGTCATTACCGATTAGACATTAGATGCTATCTCTCCATTATTAAAACTTTCATATTTTGAACATAAAAAGGAATTTGTAGAGTCAGGCAAAGGGTCTAAGTTTTTATAATGAGCCATTCATCTTCAGGTCAGGTTCCATAATAACTAACTGCTACAAATTAGTTCCGTGGGAGGAAAATGAAATGGAAAAAAATGGAAATGAGAATTACTGCTGAAACTGTGTCATATTTGTACACACTGAGCATAATGGTATTTATAGTGTCCAAACTCTTTGTGACACCTCATTTCTACCACTGCCACCACAACTTATGTGAAAGCACACTGCCTAGTGGGCAGTTAGCAAATACCTCTTGGCAGGGCATCTGACATGACAATCCAGGCTCAGCATTTTTTTCTTAAGATTAAATATCTCAAGACTTTTAATCACAGGACAAGGCCCCAGGGGAGGAGGCAGCACATTCTGGGGAACAGGCCAATGATAATATTTACTGACCATCTCTTTCTGTACTCATGACCAGCTGACATGACTGCTGCTGGATTGTTTTTGCACAGAAAAATGTTATCAGGAAAGCAGGCAAGACTGTTTTTAGCTGTCCTGCTTTTTGCAACAGCAGTAAGGTGTCACACAGCTAATCAATTCTCATGGTTGCTTCAAAGCTACAAAAATAGGGTCTGTCCTAACTCAGGTAATCCAGCACAGGGCTTGGGTGTCTGGGGCAGCTTGTCTGAAAAAATAAACCAACACCTACTTTAGTCTCAGAAGCACAGCAGTGGGAAAAGAACACCACCTCCAGTGTACCTTAAGGTTTACAGGTAGCCATTTTCAGACTGAATGGCTACTATCAGTCAATCATCTCTGCACTCCCAGTAGGAAATGAGATCTCCCGTTGTTAATGCTACAATGCTTGACACAAGTCTGAATTTGTAGTCGCAGTAGTGCTAAATTAAAAATCCATACTGTGGGCAAAGAGGGGAAGAAATACATGTTTTCATCAAATGTAGCAGAGAGAACATCTTTTCAGACACTACCTCTCTGGTTTTGACTGACTTTTAATTTAAAGTTTTGTTTTAATCAGCAAAGTAAGTATAGGAAAGGACAAGGAATATACACTTATAGAGCAAACTCACCTTTATCATCATATCAGTCTTGTCTACAGGAGGAACCATTTATATCTCTGTCATAGGCTTCCAACCATGGTCATCATTCATACACTTGGAGCACTAAAAATCTTCAGAAGTGCTTGTTTAAGCAATAAATTTGAGAAATCTCATTCCTGATAGTGTTTATTGTTGGTTGTTTTTTTTTCTGAGCTCATTGCTGTTTTTTCCCCATTTTTATCCCTTCTTTCTCTAGCTGTTAGGATAAACGAGTGACTCCTTGTCTCCATCAGAACAGCCCACCCTCAGTTTCCCGAGGGAGCAGAGATTCCCCAGGAAGCCAGACATTATGTGACAAATCCCTGTGGAGCATTGTAAGGCTAAGCCACCTTCCCACACTGGTGTCTGCCACAACTACAGCTGGGAAGGTCCTATGCCAAGCTTTACTACTGGTTTTATCATGCTTCTTCTGTCTCCTAATTTTCCAACCACTCAAAAAGGTCCATTCAAATCAAAACAAAAAGTACTGTTTACACTAATCACCCAGGAATTGTCTGACTATGTTTTTGGGGCTAAGCTGGTAGCACAGAAAGTAGGGAGAACACACAAGGGGACTGTTTCTACCAGCTGAAAAAGGAGGGGACTCCAGCTGATGATGAAGGGTTAGAGAGGCCCTGGATACCAGGGCATGCTTTTCCCATGTCCCCTGGGAATGGTCAGTGCTCAGGAGCCCTGGAAAGCAGTGCCCATTTCACCTGCCACTGCTGCCAGCACACTCAAACCCTTCCACGATTTCAGCAGAAGTGGGATAAGTCTTACACAACACTTAGGATTACAGTTAGTCTTTCAACAGTTCTTAGCACTTCTCTTGTGGAAGAGCACAAATTGCCTCATAATTTGGGCCAGAGGGTCAGTACTGCATCCAAGCTAGGATCAGACAGGTAGCTCTGAAGATGGTTAGTCACAGGCATTTATTTCCTTTTTACCCTGTAAATCTGATGGAAGCTTTCATCCTCCTACGAAACATAGTTGCCTCCCCTTGCCAGGAAAACCATCCCAGCCTCATAAGCACCAGTCAAACAAGCACTGATTTAATAATGATATTGGCCAGTCTACCAGTGTTGTGCTAAATAAAAGAAGACCCACAAAGTAGCATTTGTACAGAGTAAAATAATCAGTCACCAACTACCCTTAACAAAGATGTGGATCATACTCCATGATGGGAACATCCACTCCTTCAGCTTCACTGCTAGACAATTCACAGCCCTTGTGCTAGCCAAGCTTCTTCATCACACTTAATGGACAGGCTTGCCTCATCTACATTGTATGTTCCACTTGAATGGAAATCAGAGCTGAGTGTTGTTTCCTAAGCCTATGAACCATGAGACTGTGAAGTCAGAAATCTCCTTGAACGAGGTCTAGTTCTTGTACAGCATGAAGATGGATAAGGGTCTGAGAAAAGATGGGAAGATGACCTGTTACTGACCCACATCTGCAACTACTGCCTGTTCTCTGCCAAATACCACAGGACAGGCCAGCAAGCCAGATGGAGAGGTCTTGGAAACACAACATCTACTTGTTCTTGTACCCAAGATCTGGATAACTTGTGCAGGACTGTTTCCAGGAGAACTTGATGGTATCAAGTATGAAAATGGATATTTATGTTATCAAGTAAGAAATCATCCTTCCCTGCTAGCAAAATGGGCAGCAAATTACTTAATTCCGGCAGGGCAGAGTTGCCTTCTCTGTAGGTTTGGCAGCTGAATGCTGGACTCACCTCAACAAAGATGAAGCAGGGGATGATGGAATAACTTCTCTGGGTATTGTTTCCTAAAGCCATTTCTCATCACACTTTTTGGGGAGGCACTGTTCAAAACTTTATATCCTGGAAAACAAAAGACAAAGGTATTTCAGTATGTTTCACCTTGGTTTTTTTTTTCAAATTCCATGACAAGGTTCATAACACAGAGCAATGACATATCAGACCAAGAATACAGATTAAAAATAACATCAAGGTCTAACTTGTGGTTGTACAAAATAGCCTGAGAAAGCATACCCTTGCAACACAAAAGAAGAGACAGACACAGGTTACAAGATACATTATCTACAGAACAAAGGGTGATAAGGAATACAACAGTTTCCTTAATTACAGTCTACTCCAAACCAAAGGCTTCTTCTTCAGGATTGCAAGATCACATTTTCAGCCCACTGACCTGCGTACAGTGTGTTTTAAATCAGTAAGATTTAGCAATTGACTTGTAAACTTGCACTTTAAAAGACACACATACTGTACAAATGATCAAAATGTTTATCTGCATAACCTGCCTGCTCAAAATGGTAGCATGTCTTATGCACAAGTAAACCCCAACCCGTAACAAGCAAACACAATAAAAATGCAATGAAGCACTGGACCCTTACTGCAGAGCCTTTCTGCCCTGCTATAAATCCATACCTTAACATGCAAACCCCCAACTACTTAGCATTACTTCTGTATTAGAATAGCTAGAATAGCTACTGGCTATTCTAATTAACATAACCTTATAATGCTCTGTGCTAAGACACTGTCTTTACAGCACAAAAAGCAGGAAAGTAAAAAAAAGAAGACTAACACAAAGGATTTTTACTGAGAGTGTGTGTGATTTTCTGCATGCACAAGGTAACACATCAAGATGCTAAGTCTGGTTTAAATGACTTTTGAGAAACATATAGACTAGCACGGAAGGAGTGAGGCTGGAAAAGCAGCATGTAGTCCGGAGCTGCCAGGTGCATCCTTGCACAAAGCATGAGACACAGAAGAGAATCAAAATCCTCTGCTATCAGTTTTAACCTGAGCACATCAGCAAGGGCAGATTTAGGCAGACCCAGCCTCACAGACAACACTCATACAGAAATTCTGTCCTGATGACAAGCCTCTCCCCGGGTCAGGGCCAGGGAGGAGGAAGGAGGTGAAAGCTGATGCATTTTGCAGAGGATGCTTTGCACAGCATCTTACCATGACTCTTTGACCTCACTGGCATCTGGGTGGCAATTCAGGTCTTGGCATATGGAGCCTGTGAGGTTCACCAAGGGGTCAGTGCTTTCTCACCAGCTCTCAGCAGGGTTACTGGAGGAAATACTGTGACCAGAGCAGGGAGTTCAGCCAAGGTTACGAAGCCTGATGGAGGAGCTGGATCAGCTGCCAGTGCTTGCCACCTGCACCACGATGCAGGCTCTTGTCTCACCACCTATAAACTACTTAACGTATTCCTTATCTCGGCTCCTCCAAACTTGACCCAGAGCTGTAAAATACACAATGTGTAAGACAGTTCCAGGCACAGCAGAGCTCCAGTGACTCCAGTGAAGCCACATACTGTCTCGGGAATGGTTTCTGAACTGTTAACCATTGAGAAATGCAGTTTCAGGTCAGACAAAACAGTCAGGAATGTCATCTGTGATGTGCTTCAGACACTCCCATCCTACACAGTATCCCCATTATGAAATACAAATATTCTGGATTTTCAAAAAACCTATTTTTCCAATTATGCTTCAACTCAGGAGATAAAATGGGTTTTATCTCAGAGGTTAGTGTCATTGTTTAAAAAAAGACAAGGTAATTCAATCCCATTTGGGCTGTGGAAAAGAATTGAGTAATTCATTTTTTAACCACACTTTTCATACTACAAGCTCTTGTGCCATGTGGCTCTCCCTGTAACTTGCCAAACACATGGTGCTTGGTAGAATAACAGGTTGAAGAGTCAGAACAGCTTACAGAGCATTATTCCATGAAACTCTTTTGTATCCTGGAGATAAACGCTCAGCATCTTTCTTTGCAAATCCTGTTTTTCAAATGGCTTAGTGCAAAGATGTTAATACCTCAGCACCTTCATGAATGCTATGCCTGATCAAGCTTAGAAATAATCAAGATTTTCTATAACATCATGCTGTAACCCCAAGCCATGCCCTCAGATCCAACTGCTGTGTGTTCCTAACCAAAGCAGAGGGCTGCAACACAATCCAAGAATTTAGGAAACATTCTCTACAGATGACTAAAAGAAAGTTCACAAACCAGCAATGAAGCTAAGGGTTCATAGCAGTCATATAAAATTGCTTGATTTAATGCTAGGGGACTCCTGATGTCATAAATATGTATCGCTATGTCCGTTCCTTTAAGCTTACTGTGCACCACTGGTTTAAGAAACTGCATTGCCTATGGGAAAGCATTTTACATGTCAGCTACTCTCCTATGTGATGACACATTTGTGTCAGACATAAGTAGTAAGAGACTAAATAGTTGCCTGATCAAGCCAGCTAATTCCTAGACTGTGGGAAAACTCTCAGCTAGCCTGTGCTTGTCATAGCAGCTCTTTTCATCAGGTTACTCGAGCAAAGAGTAAAGGGAAGCAACAGCATGATCTTCGGGGGAGTACCATCTTTTGTCTCTCTTCAGCTGGCAATGAGTCCTCTAGGGACTCAGCAAAACACACCTTACAGCAATCCCTAGATGCTCCAGCCTGTACAGCAGTCAGAGATAACTCACTTTTGCCCAAAGAATTATAATAAGATGTAAAACAAGTGTTTAGTAACAGTCCTGTTCTATAATCCATGAAGATCTCTTCACATTGAACAAACTTTCACAGTGCAAAGCTTCTGACCAAAGCAATGGTAAAGAGAAGCTATAATATCAGTATTTGGTACTGCTTTTTCCATTTGTTATTTCTATTTTTACCAATTTTACTCAATTGTTAAGGAACTCATATGAGCAAAACTGTAAGAGTCTTTTTAGATCCCACTAGCTGTGACCTTTTCAGGCCAGGTACATTAGCATAGCATGGGAGTAGAATTGGTCAAACCTACCCTAACTAAATAGGGACCACTGTAGAAGGTGTATTAATAACCTGAAACTCCATTATTATGAGGTGCTTCTCACTCTTTAAACAATATATATAATTGTACAATAGAACATTGGTGAACTAATTAGAATTAGTTAGTTCTCATTTTGTTCAATTTACTTCACACGTGTTTTCAGAAAGCCCTTGACCTACAGCATAGGAGGTGATCGTCTGACATCTGGGAGAACAAGTGGAGCTATAGAATATACATATTTGAATTGAAAAGTAAATATAAAGGACAGCAAAGAAAAAAGAATTCAAGCTGAAGAGATTTTCTTGCCGCAGGGATCCATCAGAGGGAATGGCTTTTAGAATGCCCCATTCAGGTACGTTCTGAAGCTTTTTATGTGAGCATGTGGTAGACAGCAAAAAGGACATATCTAGGACAAACTAGCATTTCCTCAGCCTTTATAGTGTAAGTTCCTGCAGCACACACAGTACAGCTGATGTTTCTCTGTGTAATCAGTGCTCAAACCAGTGGTCCGTTCCTCTGGAGACAGTGGTCACCTTTATGTTTTTTAAGCCATGTCCTGCATAGGTAAGAAGATGAACAATATATTTTATGTATTGCTACAGTGGATATCTGGGCATCTGTACAAAATACTCAAATCAACAATCCAGAAAATCTAACAGGTACTGTTTATTGTAGTTTTCAGCTGTGTTTCATTTAATCAATACCAATGAATGTTTCTTTTGCCACTGAGTTAGAGATCGCCAGCCTGAAATCCAGAAACTGCTGCACAGACCAAGGTAACAGCAAAGCCATTGGCACATGTGGGACATCAATTCACTGCAGAACCCTAAATCTGCTCGGCCCAGAGGTGAGGAGGGCAACCACTGATCATTTGGTACCAGGATGTGATGCAAGCACAAAAAAAATGTATTTCTGTTCCTCTACTTCTAGACAGGTTGAAAATCTTTACAGCAGCAGCTAACACTGTTCCAAAAATAAGATATAAATGCTGTAGTAGAAAAAACACCAGCTATTTCTATAACAATGTAAAAGATACTTTAAATGTCAGCATTTCCCTATTTGTAAATTAGTTTAACCTTTTATTAGCAATTTGCAAACCTCTCTTGGCAATTGGCTTCAAATTATAAAGATCTTTATTTTCACTAAATTAAGAATTCTGTTTACAAGTAAAAAAAAGATCACCAAAATTTCTGACCAGTCCATCAAGCACCAATTTGCCCAACTGCAACACGGAATTCTGCATGTCAAACCTCCATTCAATTAAGGAAACAAATTAAAATTAATGCCACTGCTGACAATGATTATCTGAGCTTTAGCAGAAAACTGTATCATTATAATGACTATTTATTATATACTTCTTACAGATCTCATTTTAAAGCAGGGTCCTCTGTTTCCTGTGGGGGAAACAAAGAGTAGAAGCAATTTGCCAAACATCACACAATGACTCAATGTCTGGGCTGAAGAAAGACATATTATTCTCAGACTCCTGTCAAGTGCTCTGTTCGCTTGACAATACAATCCCTACATGTGCTTGCTAATTCCTGCACAAGAACTGCACAGTTCTCATTGTACATTTTAGTAATACAGGTTTCCCTGATTGCTTGCTGCTGGAACCAGCAGAACACGCATTTTCACCCTCACACAAGTGCTGATCAAACATGTACCAAGATGTGACAGCCTCACATTCTCTCTGCAGCTTCACCCCTGGCATGTCCAAAGGCACCTCATCATCCTAGTGCCACTGCAGCATGAGCATGCAGGTAATTCTGAACAGGTTGCAACACAACAACAGTGGGTTAAAATGTCTTTCCCAAAGCTCTCTTCCACACAAGTCTAACCAATGCAAACAAAAGGGCCTAAGATTTTACCGCAAAAGGTAGTCACGGCTATTTTGTATTCTCCAAGTACAGACATTTTGGCGTTTTCAAAGTGATCAAAACCACAATGGTGGCAGGAATCACTGCAAAAGCCAAACTGTGTGGGAAAAAGCACATATGACATTGTAGCATGAAGACCTGCTTGCCTGCCTTGCACCCAAACACA